TTCTGATTCCTCACTCTTCATTATGCATAAAATTGGGTTCACGGTTTATATTTTAGTTTATGTGGATGATATCTTAGTGACTGGCAGTCACCAGCGAGGTGTTCATTATATCATTGAGGCTCTTTCTCAACATTTTTCACTGAAGGACTTAGGACCTCTTCATTACTTTCTTGGTATTGAGGTGATTCGTTCTTCTACTGGTCTTCTGCTTTCTCAAGATAAGTACACTATGGATCTCCTACATGAGGTAGCTATGGATAACTGCAAAGGTGTTTCCACACCTATGACATCTACTATTGTTTTTTATCCATCGCTTGATGATCATCTAGTTCATGGTTCCTTATATCGGCGCATTATTGGTAAACTTCATTACCTTTCTTTCACTCGTCCGGACATAGCTTTTGCTGTCAGCAAGTTGTCACAAGCTATGCATAAACCATTTATGTCTCATTGGGTTGCTCTTAAATGACTTGTCCGCTATCTCCGTTCAACTACCTCATTTGGTGTGCTCATTGCCAATGAAACTGATCATAGGTTGCTTGCGTACTCTGACCGGAAAGGGGATCCTCATGATCGCACATAGACCACTAGTTATGTTATCTATCTTGGCAGTTCTCCTATTTCATGGTCTTCAAAGAAACAGTGTTCAGTTTCTCGTTCTTCTACAGAGGCAGAATATCGGGCAATTGCTCCTACTGTTTCCGAAACTAACTGGCTAACCCATCTTCTTCAAGAGCTTCAGTTTCCTCTACTGTTGTTCCAAGAGTTCTCTGTGACAATATCAACACCACTTATATTTGTGCGAATCCTATTTTCCATAGCTGTGTGAAGCATGTGGCCATCAACTTCCATTTTGTCCGGGAGCAGGTTGAGTGTAAACAACTTGAAGTTTTCCATTTACATGCTTATGATGAAGTTGCAGATCTTCTTACAAAGCCTTTTCCGCGTGCACATTTCGGTAACCATTTCTCCAAGTTGGGTGTAGTAAACCTCGACACCAACTTTCGGGGGTGTAATAACGGCTAGCATCTAAGACCCTTGTTACCTGTAGCCCTCTTGTTACTTGTCGGACTCTTTTTATTTTGCTTTTATAGTAATTTTACTTATCAACTCTTTCTATCTTTAGAAGTGTAATTACGTAGGTTTCTCTAAGTTGTTATTTTATTCTCAGCCTTGTATGTAATACATGGGCTATATAAGGGCCAATGCAGTAATCAATACATATCAGTTCATCTGCATCCAGTACTTGTCTTTCTCTTTATCCTTGACCAACTATCTGGAATGGGTGTAAGGTTTGATAAAGAAAAACAGGAACTGTTGCTTCTTAATACTCTGCCAGACTCTTTTGAAACTCTTTGAGTATTTTTGACTAATTGGCTATCCAGCTTATGCTTTAAGGCACTTGGAGTGAATGTAATTGCAGGTGCTAGATTACATTGAAGATAGCGGTCTTGAGGAGATCGCGTAAGGAACTTCAAGAGCTTAGGGTGTTTCCTTCTGATCCATTTTCTTGAGGACCGAATGTATCCTTGAGAGAGCAAGGCCTTGTAGCTGTCTCAGTGGGCTGCCATAAGCTTAAGTCAGTTTTATACTTCTGCTGCCAAATGACAAATGACGCCTTAGTTACTATTGCAAGGAACCGTCCTAACATGATCCAATTTCGTTTGTGTATTTTTGAGCCTCAAACTCCTGATTACTTAACCCTTGAACCACTTGATGCTGATCTTGGGGGCCATTGTGCAATACTGCAAGGAATTACGACAACTTTCTCTTTTCTGGCCTCCTTACAGATCGTGTGTTTGAGTACATCGGGTTCCATGCTAAGAAGTTAATGGTGATTTCCTTAGCTTTTGTGGGGGATAGCAATCTAGGCCTCCACTATGTTCTCTTTGGTTGGGAGTGCCTCCGTAAGTTGGAGATTGGAGACTGCCCCTTTGGTGATGAGACTCTGTTGGCTAATGCTGCAAAGCTGGAGACAATATGATCCCTTCAGATGTCTAATTGTTCAGTAAATTTTGATACATGTAAGTTGCTAGCCCAGAAGTTGCCAGGGCTTAATGTTGAAGTTATAGACGAGAGGGGTCATCCGGATACGAGACCAGAAAGTTGCCCTGTTGAGAAACTTTATACATACAAGACTGTGTCACGAAGGAGGTTCGACACTCGTGGTTTTGTTTGGATAATTGACGAAAATGGTGTTGTCATGTACTTCTGGTCATGTAGATAAATGTGAACCTTTCATTCATTTGAGTACTTAAATCCCATTTGTTGAAGTTTTAGAAGGTATTTCAGTGTTCTATTGTGAGTTTCGGATTTTGGTCTAAGTTGGTCGAATGTTCGAGGAGGGGAAGTCCTGAGTGCTTATAAGCTCTCTATAGACTTTTCATTTCACGACCTAGCTTTTGTGATAAAAGTTTGTCGGGTTTGTGACAGAGTGGTATAAAATTCGTTTTAAAGCAGTACCCTGATTGAGTTGACCACAAAAAATGGGACTTCAGACCAAGCAACGTAATCTATGGATTCATGTGAAGTCATTAGCTTTTGTCAAAATCATATATATATATATATATATAGATATATATGTAATTAATTAAATATTAAATAATAATATTTTAGTTATTTTCTAGATTGTAAGTTATTTATTAATAAGACAATTAAAGGTCATTAATTAAAGGGAAAATGCATAAGTACCCCCTCAGCCTATGCCCGAAATCTCAGAGACACACCTAACCTTTACTAAGGTCCTATTACCCCCTGAACTTAATTTATTTATAATATTCTATCCCTTTTCGGCCTATGTGGCACTATCCTTGAAAAAAATGTCAACATGCGCTGGGCCCACCTGATAGTGCCACGTAGGCCAAAAAGGGGTAGAATATTACATATAAAATAAGTTCGGGGGGGGGGGGTAATAGGACCTTAATAAAGGTTAAGTGTGTCTCTGGGATTTCGGGTATAGGCTAGGGGGGTACTTATGCATTTTCCCTTAATTAAATTATATAATGAATTAGCCAAAAAAGAACATAAAGTAACGTGCACTAATTGGGAATTAGTGTTTTTAATGTGCACTTATCCTTTTTGTAATGATGAAGAACCCAAAATATTATAAATCTTATTAATTAAATATTATAAATAATACTCCCTTTGTCCCAATTTATGTGACACGTATCGTTTTTCGAGAGTCAAACAATTTCAGTTTGATCGAGAATTTGCTCATGAATTCTTCAAATTTTTAAGATGAAATTTATATATTTTTAAACTACGTAAAAAGTACTACAAGTCACAATAATTGACAATTCAAAATATTTAAAAGATATATGAAAAATTTATGGTCAAAGATAGACTTTTTTGAATCTCAAAATCCAAAACATCTCACATAAATTGGGATAGAGGGAGTAATATTTTAGTCATTTTCTAGATTGTAAATTATCTATTAGTAAGACCATTGATTAAATTATATAGGAAATTAGCTTAAAAGAAAGTATAGTAACGTAATGCCTTTTCACTGACATTAGAATTATGTGATTCAACTTATAATGCAATGAATATATTTGTGTAAATTCTCTTAATTTTTTCCAAAGTGATATAACTATCAGTTAAAGTATCTTTTTGATTAACTATTTTGTGATATAAACTTAAAGTAAAAATTAGAGATCAACGTGATATACACGTTCCCAGAAACAACTACTATGTACATGCATTAAGATATCGACTAAATAATTATAAATATATAATTGTGAATGCAATTATTATTGATATAACCTGATTCATTATACAAACTTGTAAACTTTAAATTTTGGATTCATCATTGTAAACAACTTATAAGCAGTCTACAAGAAAATTGTAGGTGGTGAGAATGTTGAAAATTATTATGTGTGTGAATGCAAAGAAAAATTTAAGAGGGTGGCAATAGAAAACAACATAGTATAGAATAAGAGATACCTAGTGGCAGAAAGTAACAAAAAAGTCCCACAATCTTTCATAACAATTGTAACATAATTTTCTTAATCATGTACTTATTCTTAAAGAAACACACAGAAAAGCACAACTTATTGTATATTTTGCTAAGTTTCTTCTTTCTACTTTGGCATTTCATACATAATGCTTAAAATCTACTTAAATAACGGGATATTCTTTGAGCCAAGGATTTGAAGGTCGTCCCTTGCCATAATTTCTTCAGCATATTCCTTGATCTTCATAGCGGAATCTTCAAGTTGAGGGCTCTTTACAAGTTTAATGATTTTTAATGAATCAATATCCCCAAAACTAGGCGGAATCTCCTCAAGCTCATGGCATTCCAGCAGATCTAATTTCTCAAGCACGGGAAAGGATTCCTCTCCAACCTCCCACTTGGACAAAGTCACTTTGCTCAACGTCAGACATTTGAGATTCTCAAAGATGTCTTCCTCTCCTATGTTCCATTCTCCCCCCTGAATGATTGTACGATGAAGGGACAACTCTTCAAGGTTGGGCAGTCTCACTATTGTTGATAGTGAATCGGATGTCAGAGGAAAGTAATACAGACACAATTTTTTCAAATTCGAAGGGAAGTGAAAATCCCACAGCCGATTTGTCATTACAGAGGAGAGCTCACTGTCATTTATGTTTGAGCTTTTAAAAGCTACTCTGAGCTCTTCTAGTTCAGTTAGGCAATCCAATTTCGGGAACCAAAATTGCTCTGTTGAATAATCACATGATTCCTTGATATCAAATCTAAGATCTTGAAGATTGGGAAACCTTTCGAATATATGCTCTGTATCTTTGGAATAGGAAAGCACGAGTTTCTCTAAATGTGTCAAGTTCTCTAACTTTGTGTCCTCTGCTATCAGTATTGATCCATCTGCATCCATATCAAAGAAAGAACCAGCAGTCACAGCCAACGCTCGCAACTTCACAAGATCCCAAATTCTCGGTAATAGTACCAAGGTTGATCCGTCGTTATACACCGACAGGATTTCTAGATTCCAGAGGTTTGAGAAAGACAAAGGCAGAGATTTAACTTATATCCTCATTAATAAGAACCTCAAATGATTCAACATGCATATTTCATTCAGCAAAAAATCATTCACCACGACAAAAGTGGGATCCAGGTGCAACACTGTAAGATGCTTCAAGTGCCTTAGGTGACATGTATCATAAACAAGGCTGTCCAGCTTTTCTCCAACTATCCTCAAAGAATACAGGTGTTTACCAGAATGGCTTTTCTTATTTAAATCAAATAGGACAAAGTTGTTAAGCGCAAAAAACTCGATGTTATTATCAATGGTCAACATACGTGGCATCAAATCTGAAGAAGAAGAAGAAGAAGAAGAAGATAGTGTACGTAAACTTACCCATTCAAAGAAATTTTCCTTCCTTGCTTTTATCAAACAAAAGTCATGCACAAGATCATGAAGTTGGAAAGTCGGGTTCTCACCTATCTCATTGAAAGAAATTACCAAGCTACTGGAAATTAACTTATCCAAATAAACCTTCATAACTTCTTCCACACTCTTCATCTCTGTCTGTTCCACAAGTCCTTCAGCAAGCCAAAAATGTTTCAAAAAAGAGATTTCCATTGCAGTGTCCTTCGGATTACTTGCAAGGTAAAACAAACACGGCTTGAGGTGATGTGGCAAATGGTCATAACTTAATTCTATAACCTTCATCACTTCCATTTTACTGTTCAAAATAAAGGAACTCAAATTATTTCGAACTTCAAGCCACACTGTCTTTTTCTTTTCCAAACCTGCAATGACCCCAGCAATCAGATCAGCCACCAAAGGAAGCCCTTTACAATTTTCGGCTATTTCTTTACCAACATCCAATAGGTCATCAGGGCAACTCTCTATTCCAAATGCTCTTTTCTTCAACAATTCCCAACTTTCTTCTGATAGTAGCAATCGAAGGTTAAGAGGAGCAGTGTTTCCATGCAAAGCCACTTCTTTTTCTCGAGTTGTCAAAATAATTCTACTTCCTTTCTTAACTCTAGGAAAAGGTCTTGTTAACTCATCCCATGTTGCGGTATCCCATAAGTCATCTAAGACAATAAGATACCTCTTTCCATACAGTTGTTTACGTAGCTCATCAGCAACATCAATATTCTCACTCAATTTTGAATCTGAATCACTAACTTGATTAAAAATTGTACCCAACAACTTCTTCTCGTCATGTTCTTGGTCGACTGTGCACCATGCACAAAGGTCAAAATGACTAGAAACTGATTTATCACTGTATACTTTGTACGCCAAAGTAGTTTTACCTGAACCCGGCATACCAGTGATCGAAATGACATCTAGATCTGCCGGTCCACCAAAGAGCTTTCTAATTATCCAGTTTGTCTCCTCCTCAAAACCTACAATTATTTTACCAGTTGTCAATGACTTACTTTCAACTGGCTTCTTGGGAGAGTTTACAGCAATGAGCCCTTTGTTCTTGGGAATTTTCTCAGGTAAATTGGAGATGTCTTCTTTGATAAGCTTGATCTTATTTATGGTGATGGGAAGTGAGAAAATAAGATGTAAGAGACCATTGTCTCGAACAAGAAGTGAATCAATGATATCTTTTGCCTCATATGCTACATTTAAAACACGTGCCCAGAGATCTTTATACAATTCTTCCTCATTATTCGCGAAAAAAGATCTTATGAATTCCAGATGTTCTTTCACCAACCCAACTTCTTCCTTGATCAAAGCAATTGAATAAGCATTGGAATCCAGCAAATCTTTTAAGTGTATAAGTAGAAGATGCATGAAGAGAGGTCCATCACTCATGGGGAAGCAAATTTGAGATGAGTCGGGAGATTTCAAGTAAACGTGCCTCAGATCTCCCTTCAGGAGTTCAATATCTTTTAGCAAGTCTAGTGTTGTACGATTTGATTCATTGGTACTCTCTTTCTTCATTGATTTCTCTTCTAAGCCACGGACAAGAGTTGTTTCATTGGTACTCTCTTTGTTCATTGATTTGTCTTCTAAGTCCCAAACAAGAGTTGATACCTCCCTGGTAAGTGCTCCAACACGTGCCAAGAGATCAAAAATTGTGTCAGGATGAATCAAGTCGGTAGGCATGTCAGTAAGAATAATCAACAGAAACTCCATCATGATGTGAATGTTTCGAGCTCCTGAAATGCTTGGGTTGATTACAGTTACCATTCGCTCTTGTAGATGAATAAGATATTCTCTAAGAATATCTGGAAAGGATTCCAGGAGTTGTTTAATGAATTGTCCAACTTCTATTGAAGTCGAAGATTTCAAATTTGTGTAACATATGTGCATAACCTCCAATTCAATTGGAACAATCTGCAAGAATAGATGTGCTAACTTGCTTAGTTGAGAGTATTCATCAGTCTGATCATCCTCATCTAGCCGGGAGAGTCCAAGCTTTCTATGAAACTCCCAAAGAAAGAGTCCGACCCTCTCAGCCATGAATTGAAACTGAGGTAAGACATATTTTACAATATCTTTTTCAATGCAACCATTCACTATCATTCCATGGAAATCTTTCATATTACCACACACATTCTGAAGCATCACAAGCTGAGCGTTATATGGAAGTATCATCCCAGCATACTTGGATAGATAATGTAGATTCAGGAGGAGGAAGTCCAACTCCTCCTCAGTCATGGATGTAGAACGAGGACATGAGCTGATACAATCATCTATATTATCCATGAGGCTACCAAGGACATGAGGCAGGTTGTATTTGTTGTCAACATCAACCAAAATTGATTGAAACACAGCTTTAACCTGTTCTCTTTGCAAAGTCATTACATCTTCAAACTGCTCCAAATCGGAATAAGAAAGCAGGACGTTTGCCCAAATTAATGCCAGCTCAATTTTCAGCACTTCAACTAGACCATCGTCAAGATCTATTTGATTTTCTTCATTCGTTAACCTCTCCATGATATCCACAACATTGACAACGTCCTTGCGAAGAGCAGAAAATGATACCTGCCAAAAGACCAAATGTTGTACTCCGATCATATCATCATCATATATCATATATCGTCATATAGATTTGAAGGACATAAAATATGTCATTTACAATACAAAATTTACATGAAATGTTTTGGGACATTCCCAGAACTAGTATCATATAAGAATCTAAGTCAAAAGTTGGATTATGAAAAGATCCCTTATCTATTAATTTATTTTCTTAAAATCATTTTTAATAATTACTTTTTCATTTAATAAATAACACAACAATCTACTTTAAAGTATTTTTTATTTTCTTAAAATTATTTTATCCTAAAAATCAACTTCATAACTACACCTCTTCATTTTCACAACTTATATTCTAATAATATTCATTAATCTTGTGCCTTTAACTCACACATTATCATCTTCATGACTCTTGTTTTTAATAATCTCTATTATTTCTCTGTCTTTTCAAATTCATAACCCCAAATAATATGTTATAATATTGTTAAATCTCTTAAATTCAATAGATAATCAATGAAATATTCATTATTTATAACCAAACGAATTGAAGCTTAATACATTCAAATTATTTTTCAAAAAATATTTGTATGTCTTGAGTTATACGTTTGTTATTTATTAGTTTATGTATTATGATATTTATGCCCTTTCATTTATTTATTTATTTATTATTATTATTATTATTATTATTATTATTATTATTATTATTATTATTATTATTGTTAGTATTTATTTTCTTTCAGTATTCACCTTAATATCTCATATTTAATTACATATTCAATTATTATTCTTTATATACATATAACTCTCATACTTTTTATATTCATAACCTTCAAATATTTAATTTAAAATTTTAAGATATCTTTTGGTATTCCTTCATTTTTATCTATATAAATCCATCTTTTTTGTTTCATGTGATCTCTGCCCAAGGTTATCCTTTTCATTGAAAAGTTAAAGTAGTGAAGTGTTTATATCATTATTGTAGTGTTTGATTCATGTTTTAGTTTGACTCGATGAAGAATGCTATATGGGAGTAAGAGTTGACAAGAACATGAAAAATTATGTACTAATTGTATATTTCTTTTTTCATCTATATTGTTATGATCACAACCCTAAGAAGAATGTGTACGCCGTATTTTTTTTCTTCTCTATTTATTTATTGTATTTTCTCCCTATTTGGCTTCTTTGATTTGTATTTTTATTCAGACTCATGAAATAGTATATATACCTCTCATTTGGTATTTTTTTCTTCATATTTTTTAAAAATTATTTATAACTATTGCATTTTATTACTCATTACATGTATGTTTTTATAGAATTTTTATGGCATAATACATAAACATGACCCTTAACTTATCTTCAGCTGGTAACTATGCCCTCCAACTTTGAGTGTTGAACAAGTAGGCACTTAAACTTGTATAAAATTGAACAAGTAGACACACATGTCTGACATGACATAATACACGTAGGACGCCACGTAGGAAATAAAATTGCCATGTAGGACGAATGTGTCTATTTGTTCAATTTTATACAAGTTTAAGTGCCTACTTGTGCACACCAAAGTTAAAGGCCATAGTTGCCAACTGACGTCAAGTTACGGGTCATGTTTATGTATTATGTTTGTACATAAACTAGTATTACTAAAAGTGGAAGATCCTAAACTCAAAGTTGAGTCACCATTTTGCTCTTATACTTAAACAAAATGTGATAACATATTTAATTATTTAAATATTAAATAAAAAAATTATGTCCAGTAAATACTAAACGACCATTTTACCTTAGCTAAAAGCTAACTTGCACCTAATGTAAGAAAAGTGATAAAAGTCCACAAGAATTTATATATATATATATACTAGTAAAGAAAGCTCGGGCGCTGCTCGGACCCAACATTAATAAAGTTATATTGTTACTCTCTCCGTCCCATATTAGATGAGAATCTTACTAAAAATATTTTTTTCATATTATTTGAGCACTTATTAAATTAGGATAGAATTAATTAGTTCTTTTCCATTTTACCCCTACAATTAATATGACCATTCCTATATTGTATGTGTATTTTTTGTAACTCATTTCAATGTGCATTGATATAAACAAAGGGCAAAATGGTGAAGTCTTCCAATGTATTAATGATTTCTTAATCACCGTGTAAAGTTGGAAGTGCCCATCTAATATGGGACGGAGGGAGTATAGTTTATGTATTGTTATAAAATTAGTAAAGATTGTTATAATATATTTTGCTCATAAGTGAGCTAATATAGAAACTTATTTGTCATTTGTCTTTTTAATTTCAATTTTAAATAGCAAATAAATGTAGCAATAAGATTGAGGGTAGAAATGAAGCATATCTTTCTAAATTTAAGTAAAAATAAACAGAGTAGAAGTAACATTAGGGTTATCGATAGGACGATTCATTTGGTTATTTTTAAAAAAATTATATCATTCCATTTTTCGGCTATTTTATAATGTATAACCAAAATTAAAATTTTAAAATCATCCCAATCCTAATTTATGTGACACAAGCAGTACAAAAATTAGTCTTTTTGTTGTCGTCTTGTAGATATTTTAAGTTATTATTTATTGTAAATTATAGTACTTTTTATTAAAGTTTTTAATAACATATGTTACTTTTTATGTTTGAGAGTTAAACCAACTTTTTTTTATATGTCTTTTAATTTTATATGTGTTTTGTCCTTTTCCATTTTCAAAAACTAATAATCTTTCCATTTTATTTTATATGTCATTTTTTTTTATAAATATATTGGTTATTCCCTCTTCTTATTGGAACACATGTTGACTTGTGGTGCTTGGTTATTCCCTCTTCTTATATAGTAAAACACATGTTGACTTGTGGTGCTTGGTTATTCCCTCTTCTTATATAGTAAAATATAATAAAGGAGAAACATAGACAATGTGATATGGCTCCTCTCTATGGCCTCCATTTGCATTTATCTTTTTTCTCATTTTTTTGGCTTTTTTTTAATTAAAAAAAATCAATTATTGTATTGTAAAAATAAATTACTAAATTTATTACAAATAAATATTTTATTAATGGAGGAACATTTACAACAAAATTCCTCACATTCTTTTTTATTATTATCTGTTTGTCTCACTTATAATAAAGGAGAAACATAATTTATCTTTTTTCTCCTTTTCTCCTTTTTTTTAAATTCAAATTAATTATTGTATTGTAAAAGTAAATTACTTAATTTATTACAAAAAAATATATTTTATTAATGTAGGAACATTTACAACAAAAAACTCTCCACATTCTTTTTTTCTATTTGTTTGTCTCACTTCTAATCATGAAATGATAATAATTTTTTTTTATATTTTAAGTATCTTTCTCTTTATTTTTTAATTTATTCACAAGGAGTTATTACCCATGACTTGCTCCTCTTTAATTTTTACTTTTAATAATATTCATAATTCTCATAATTTTTATGTCCATAACCTCCAAACTTAAATTTGTAAGTTTATGATGTCTTATGGTATTCCTCTATTTTGGCTATAAATTCATATTAGCTTCATGAAGATTCACATTCAAAATTATCCTTTCTCTTCTTCATTATATTAGTTTGGTTTGTAACAAAAAGAAGTACATGAAGGTAAGAAATATTTCATTGCAAATCTTTATTTTTTCATTTCCTCTATTTTGTCTATATAAATTCATATTTGGTTTGTGAATGAAACTAACATGTAACAAAAAAAAGTACATGAAATTAATAAATATTTCATTCTGAAGTCCTTATTTTTTTCATTTTCTCTATTTTGTCTGTATAAATTCGTATTTACTTTCATGAAGATTCACATACAAAATTATGAAGGTAAGATATATTTCATTCTCAAGTCTTTCTTTTTATTTTTATGTACTTAGACATGCTTTCTTAATATTTTATTTATGTTTGTATTATCATTCATCAAGCAAGTATGATTAAAAAAATATCTCTGTAATTCTTAACAATGTGTTGTCCGTATGCAATTGCTCTTTCTAATAGTTAGTTTTCCGGATATAATATAGTTTAATTATAATGTTTGTTAGATTTCAAGAAATGATGATTATTTAGTATTGTTAGTACTATTAAAAAAAAAAAATACAAATATATTACATATAGTTTAAATTTCTTTCTTTCTTTTGATATAATTATTTTTAATTGGTATATGATTTTTTTATTCATTTTTTTTCAGTTGGTTGCATATAATAAAGAGTTAGACTTATGGAGCAAAATATGGTGGCGGATCTACTTGCAAAGGAAGATGGTAGAAGGAAAAAAAATGAAGCATATTTAGAGATTATTTTTGCTAGATTTTTTTTTTCACTTTGACTTGTATTAGTAACTTAGTTACTTTTGCTAGATTTTTTTTTTCACTTTGACTTGTATTAGTAACTTAGTTACTTTTGCTAGAATTTTTTAAATTTTGATTTGTATAAATAATTTAGCTAAATGTATTAATTGTCAACGCTAATCATTTGATCATTTACTATTCTACTTTTTCTTTGTTATGAAGCAAAATTAATATAATTATCCCATTTCAACAAAAAAAATGATGATTAGGAGTTTCATTTTTATTATACTTAGAAAATAGTAATTGAAAAACAAAATATTAGTTTCATAATGCCATTTTTTGCATATGTAACAATCTATTTTCGGGGCCCTTCGGGGACATCCGATAAAAGTGGGACAATCTAGTTTCGGCACCGTTCTTTTTGGTTTGAAATGTATTTATATTTTTTATGCAATCACCGATTATTATATTTTCTTTGTTCATTTTTTTGTATTTTCACCCCGTATTTTTATTTATTTATTTTACAAATAAAATCAATGCATAATTAGTAATACATTTGATGTCTAATAAAATTATACATTTGAATTATTTATAACTCATGTCTCTTCATCTTACTTGTAACTTCTAATATTAAATATTATTCATAACTTTTGTATGTTTCATTTTTCATAATTCTTATA